AACAGAGTAAGAGGGTAAACGGGGGTGGGAGATGAGATCAGTCGACATTCGAGATCCCGGCCTCATCACACCGGCTCCGCGGGCTCCGCGACAAAGAACGGGCGACATGCAGACGGAAGGGCAACAAGGTCGACGACACACGAAGGACCGACGAGTCACCGCAGTAGAGCAAGACTCTCGGTTGGGTCGAATGAGCGGCTGATTAGGAGGAAAAGAGCGACAGAAATCCTAGTCGCGAGGGACATTTTTGACACTGAAGGGAGATCTCGCGCTTCGCGCCTAGCTGCTGATGAGTCCTGGCTGGCACGTCGTGCTGTCTGCGGAAGGCATGTAGCCAGTGATGCAAGAGAAGACTGATGAAGTCAGCGTGTCGACTCGACTCGATATATGGCCTCCTCGAACCACCGACTCACCATGGCACGCTCCGGCAGAGCATCCGACCGAGCTAACACCCGGAAGAGCCGTGCAGTCGATACCGGTCCTGCGAGTCGTCAGTACAAAAAGCCAAGCTGGCTCGGAATGAGTGAGTCACGCCACACTCACCCCATGGTAGAGCAGCCTCCGCACGAGTACAGGTCGTCCTGCCATTCAACGCTGCGACGCATGAGCAAGGTCTTGAGCTCGGTGCATGATCGGACTACTCACCAGTCGAAGTCCTCGTCGGCGCTGACGTTCGCGGCCTCAAAGGGAGTCATGGTGGTGACCGGGCAGGCCATCATACCGGATGGACACCTAGCGGGGTCGATGTGGCCGAGACCGAGCGTGATGGGGATGATGGCGCGGTCCTGCGTCGTCAGCGTCTGTCATCGAATGCTGCAACCGCCGCCAGCTCTGATTCTCCAGATACTGCGCAGAGGAGAACGCCTCCATAGAAGAGCCAAATTGTCACTCACGCTCCTCTTGCGCGATCCACCACTGGGAGAAGAGGACGGCGCGGGCGAGTCCACAAGGACGTTGTAGTGGTGATGCCCGCCATGTTCAGGCGTACGCGCCGCGAGAGCGTCCCCTCCGCTCGTCCGGGTTGGGGCGGAAAGCGACGACGACGCCAGGAGGACGAGGGCAAGGAGGTTGGTGGCGAACATATCGGGTGGGGGATCAGGGTAGAGGTTGCGAATGAGCGACTTGAGTGAGTAGTGCGTGGCAGGAAGGATACGCCCAGAGAGGTATGCTGAGAGTCGATCTCGAGAGATATCGACACTATACTCGCGATTATGGTACGTGGAGGTGCTGTAGAAAGATTTGGGGAACGGGGGGGAGAGGGGTTTTTTGGGGGGGGGGGAGTGATCCCATCGCCGTATTTGAGCGACTACGCGAGAGCTGCGTCTCGTTCAACGGAAGCCCGCGCCATCGTGTGCGATGAGAGGACAACACACAGGTACGATCTGATGAAACTGCGCGGAAGAATCGATGGCCGAGGATGGCGAGGACAGAAAGGCGGAGCGGAGCGAGAGCAGACCTGCGCCGAAGCGGAGGCGATGGAGGAACGAGGGGTACCTTTGGCCGAGGGAGACATAAGGTCGTCCTTGCGAGGATCAATACTCGCTTGGAGAACTGCCCTCTGTCCTCTCCCCCGGCGACGCGGCGTGTCGAGACGAGTCGAGACGAGACGAGACGAGACTCTGGATATGGTACGTCGGAGTATGTCTCGGCCCCCCTCATGAAATACCCAACTCCATGCCAACCGAGACATTCTCTCACTGCGAGACTCGTCGCCTGCGGAGTTTCAATCTCCATAAACACATGTCCTGCGTTACACAATCAAGAACAATGGCCAGATGTGCTGCGATGCAATGCGATGCGATGCCGCACCACCGTATGCATGTGTGTTTCAGGTACGATCAAACGATCCCAACGGAGGGGTCAAAGGGGTCATAGCGTGGCAGGGGGCGATCCATCACGAAACGCCGCCCGGGTCTGTGCTTTCCCCGTGTCCGCGTTTCAGGTCGACCGGCGTGGCGGTATTGTCCGCTGCGAGCCAAACAACGTCGAGCTCCATCAGCATGATTTGCATATTGCCTTCTCAACCTGTCCACTTATAAGACCTACGACAAGGGGGCCATGCATTGAGACAAATCGCCACAAGACATCCCTGTCAAGCTCTCTGTCAGACAGCACCAGTACTCGACGACAGACATGATATTTGCTTCCGTCGCTCCATCGTCTTTCGACGCAGCCAAATCGGGACCATCGCATACTTCAATCTTCGTGCATTATACTTGGCTATTTACATTCGGTGAACGGCTTCTGCCACGCGCTGGCCCTCTGTCGGTGCGGTACCCTGCGCTCCTGCGACGCCGCCGGTCGCTCCAGTCGCTCCATTCCCCACGCCCGCACCAGCGGGGTGTCCGGCTCCAACGCCAGCGACACCGGGGTGCTGCTGCCCTTGCGCGAGTCCTTGGTCGTGCAGCTGGCCCGCTCCGGTTCCGGCTCCGGCCCCAGCGCCAGTGCCAGCGCCGGCGACGACGGCGGGCTCGTGTGTCGCGTGCAGCTCGGCAAGCTTGTGTTCGCGCACAGTCCCGTGCTCGTGATGCTGTGATCGTCGTCAGCTGTGATCGCGACCCACCGCTCCAATTGACTGCACTCACTTGCGACTCAAGCTGGTTCAGGTGAGTCTTCTTCTGCTCAACAGCCTGGACAAGGCGCTGGTGTTCGCTCGTCTTGGTGTTGATGTCGTTCGCGGTGGCTTGGACCTTGGAAGCGGCCGCCTGGTGCTCTGCGGTGGTGTGAGCAGTGCGGTGGTGTGTCTCGATCGCTATGATTTCGGAATGGCCGATTGTATTGTCGACTCACTCTGCTCGAGCTTATGCAGCTCGCTGGATAACTTCGCCTCCTCCTTTGCTGCCTTCTCGTGCACCTGACGCCATCAGCGGCTTGCCCTACTCCAAAGTCCCGGACTCGCAAGGACGGAAGACTCGCCGAGTGCGCATGAGTCTCCGCCTTTGCTCCCTTCGCTTCGTTCTTCTCCGCGTGAGCGATATCCTTGATGGCCTGCTTGATGGACTTCTCCTCGGACCTGTTCTCTGCCGTGGAGTCAGCCAGGGTTCCGAGCGACGTGACGACCCGGACGCAGCTGTTGCTAAGCCAACCTCCCCACCAAACACCATAGCCCACGGCGCCAACCCATTGAGGGGCGCGGTAGCTTTGAGGGTGTGGTAGTAACTACATCTAAGACCCACCCTTGTCCAGCATCTTCTCCTGCTTCTCGACGGGGTCTGAAGTGCCGAAGAGTCCCATGATGATGTGGTGTGTGAGCGCTATATGCGAGTATGGGCGATGTCGAAGTTCGGATGTGTTGTGATCTGGAAGACAAGACGTTGGGTGGCGAGAGTCAGGGGAGCGCTGTTCTAGGCGGTATATATGTGCATGTGCATGTGCTGAGCCACACCTTGGGGTCGTCTCGCCTCGCCTCGTTCAGCCCCCCTTGGAGCTGGTGGAGCGTGAAGGTGCATGCATACCTCGGATCAAGGTTTGGAAGGGATCGACGGCCACAGTGGGGCAGGGAATTGGACGATGACGTAATGACGTCATCGGCTGGACTATGACGAGACATCGCTTGGCGCGTTCAGTTCACGGTTCACGATCGTCTCTATGATATATCGTTGCAGTCAATTGTTATGCTTAATGCCACGAAACCGGCGTGATCACCTGTACGGACCCAATGGCAGCCCGGAGAAGCCCACGGGCATTCACAACGGCTCGTACGCACACATACCCAACCCGCGTCCATAGCTCAGCGGTGAGCGCCCGCAATCAACCGACGTCTCGTGAGGTGACCACTCCCACTGCGGTGGTCTGATTGGGTCTGCACGCGGCCGAACGGCGAAGCGAGGGAGGGGGACGTTCGACTCGTCCTGGGCGCGAAGGCGATGCTTCTTTTTGGAAGGTTTGAGCCTTCTAGCGGGCGTAAGTGGGATTGGAATGCGGAGGGGAGGGGTGGGCGCAGGCGCACCTGGGCGGTGGGACGAAAGGACGAAAGGATGGATCGAAGGACGGATCGATGTGGGCGCAAGGCACGAGGGCCCGTCCGTGTTGTCAACGTCGTGAAAGGTCGGACGCTTCTGACAGTGTCCAATGTGCTTACCCCTTGATCATCACCCCGCTAACAAGCCCTGATGCGAACACCTTGAAGGGTCGAGGACGGCAGGCTGGTGAGACCCGTCCCTCTCAGATGGGGAGTGCACACTCAGTCCCCAGGAGTGCCGCTGGTCCGGCACTCCACAACGCGACGGACCCCTCTCCGTCCTGGCTTGCATGCGCATCAGAGCTTTGATATGAAAGGCTACCAAGACCTTTCCCAACTTGCGCGTCCCTTACTGACGACGGATCGAGATTGAATCGACATGCACACCGAACGGGTAGAGTTGTCTCAACACTTCGCATCGTGGTCCACTCTTGGCAAGGCTTGACCGAAGCCGCCTCGACACACATCAGATCAAGACGACACCCGTATGAGCCCAAATCGCCTCGTCTCGCACAATGGCGAGCGAGGCCGTCGATCCGGCCGCGCGCACACGACACAATTCGCGGGTGTATCGCTGCACCCATCCCCGCTGGACAGGACCTGTGTGTCACTCGCCTGCTACTCTTACCCCGAGCCGCCGAGGTCAGTTGCCCGAATGGTGGTCTCACCGATGCTTCGAATGGAGAGACCGGGCGCTGAGCCGCGCCATGTTTTCGGCGGGTCGCGGAATATATTCCTCCCTCCGATCCGGAATCGAAACACTTGGTGGAATGTGTATGGTGTGGTGATTGCAATGCCCAGGAGTGACGTGAGAGCGCAAGTCAGTAGATTCGAGGTGAGGGGAGGAAACGGTTGTATATGCAAGTGCTGATTGATCGACCCATAACGCAAGCCAACATCCTTTCCACATCCTTCACTCGATCCACCCACTCCTATCATCAATCCCTCCCACACCCTCACACCGTCCACTGTACTGTGATCGCCTCTCGTCAAGCCTCCCCACACACCACCCCTCCCCACACTGCTCGACGCTACTCACGGTCGCGTGGCGAAGTGGTTTATCGCGCTGGTCTTACAAGGCAGATTCCCCCGCCGTTTGGTCCTGGACTGGCGAGAGGAAGCTACCCCGACACACCAGATGTCCTCGGTTCAAACCCGAGCGCGATCAGGCTTTTTGGGGGCTCCGCGGAGCTTCGTAGAGGTGCGATGAGTCTGGAAGGTGAGAAGGACGAGAGGGCTCGAGGGGGATGAGGAGCACAGGGTGGGCAGGGGCGGAGGTGGGGCGGTATCCCTTCCCGCCAATGTCTGCTTTTGAGCGGACGAGCCGTTCACTCCGTTGCAGCTGCATGCGGGGTCATATCGAGTGAGGTGAGCAACGTCGCTGCCATGTCGACCAACGCCTAGGCTTGCAACGAGGCAGGTTGGCGATCAGCCATAGTACACACAACTCGATCAGGCACGGAGGATCGACAACGAGTCGTGGCGTTGTGGCGCCGGTACCCGCTGGTCACTCGTTTCGCCGATGTGCGCCGATGCCGGATCGATATCTGAGGATATGACCGCTTTCTCAACTTGTGCATGGCTTCCTGTGAACGCGCAAACATCTCGCACATCACAGACGCCCAACCATTGCTCCCGTTAGCCCGAACATTCACTTCAACATAATATCATATTGCCCCCACACCACCCATCAGCCGGCAAGCCCAGCCTCGTGCACGCCGCAGCTCGGGCCCTCTTGCACTTCATGAACCCACGATCCATATGTACACCATACCAAGACCGTGTAGCCAAGCGGTTAAGGCGTCGCTTATCAGGGAGCACTCGACTGATCGACTATCCAGGATTCTCTTCCCCCGGGTAGCAGACATCCAGGACGCCAGGATCTCCAGGAATCGTCAAGATGACCAGGACCAGGCGAACGTCGACCAGCGACACTTCCAGGAGGGTGAGAAACAGGGTTCGACTCCCTGCGCGGTCTTCTCTTTTGCGTAGCGCGCGGTGAGGAGGACCATACAAGTACTCGTACTGTACATGTACAGAAACCACAACGAGGGCCGAGACAGAGAGGCGATCGAAGGAAGGGGAAGTCGCCTGCTTGATGTTCTGTCTTGCGCACCGCTAATTGTTGCTCCCATTCTCCAATAATCCCCTGCTCCACTGTTCTCGACCCTCATGGGGTGATGCCAGCGCTACAGGTCTTTGCCCCGCTGTGTACAGTGCGCATGTGGCACTGTCTACCAGACACGTAGACGAGCTGCCGTTGCAGCACGGGCCTCGCAGCGCTTCTTGAACCCACGATTCCTATATACCAACAATTAGACCGTGTAGCCAAGCGGTTAAGGCGTCATCCAATTACGAGTCTTTCTGAGGGTACCATGCTGCTCGGGTTGGGAGAGACCATGCCGCGGTGTAATCCACGACACCGCGGCCTGGTGGGTGTAGTTGAGCCAGGGGTCCCCCGGGTCACCAGGGGACTGGGGATTGAAACCGGGTCACCGGAATTACTGGTGGTTTATCGGTATAGGACGGGCCTGGACGTACCTAGACAAACCTGAGCAGATCTGGACGAATCTGGAAGACCCGGAAAGCCTGGAAACGACCCCCTGGATGTTGCTGAAGACATGGTGCCCGGAGGGCCCGAGCACGCGGTAGTCAACGATGATACAGTATGAGAGCTCGAGATGGGATGGGATCCAGGGTTCGACTACCTGCACGGTCTTCTCTTTTGCGAAGTGCGGGATGATAAGTATGACCAGTAACAAGAAGGGGCGACCCGGACGACGACTCGTCGGAGCACGGGGAGCACGGGCCTCGTAGCGGTTCTTGAACTCGCGATCCCGATGTACAACTGAATAGACCGTGTAGCCAAGAGGTCAAGGCGTCACCTGATCGCAGAATTCATGAACCACAACGGTTATCTGAGTACGTTCCTCGACTTGACTTCACCCCGGGTCACTGGGGCGCACGTCTCACAATGCGTATGTCGGCGGTGGTTTGAGAACTCGAGACGGGATGGAATCCAGGGTTCGACTCCCTGCGCGGTCTTCTCTTTTGTGGATCGTGGTGCGGGGAGAGAACACGGACCGAGGCGAGCTGCGCTCGTTGGTCTCATACAAGCAAGGCAAGTATAGCGAGAGCGGGGAGGATCGCCGGAGCATTGGTCAAGAACTGTCGCTACTCGGGCTCGTCTTCCGCTTGGTCGGTATCCGTACGGGGTCCTGCGCCCTCTGAGTCGATGGGGCTTGCCGTGGATGATGTACAGGTAGGTATGAAAAGCACGAAGATCAGATGCGAATGGAAGACATTTCGGGCTCCGTTATGACGCTGACGAGGCTGCCCACCCAAGGACCTTGTCACTCGTTGCGCGATTGACCAACCGCCACCGACCCGACGATCCCTCCTCCTTCGTCACCTTGTGTCGCAGGCGCTGTGTTTCTCGGCCTCGTGATCAAGGAAGAATGCTTTGAAGCCATCCGCGCAATCTGAGTACACATAGACCGCGTAGCCAAGCGGTTAGGCGCCGATACCCATCCGCGGGCGGGGGGGCGGGAACCGAACGCCCCTGGGCAGCGCCCACAGCGCTACCCAGAGCAGCTCCTCGACTGATGGCCAAGTAGGTCAGCTGGGTTCGACTCCCAGCGCGGTCGTTACTTTTTCTTGCTGATATGGCGTACGCAGAATCGTATCGTGGTGTATGTAGCTTGCGATGTGCGACCGTTCCCGGTACCCAGGCTAGCTTCCGTCAGTGATGGTCGTCAAGGTTCTACTGCGGCTGCACAGGCGCGTTTGACCTCTCGACAACCATCCTTTCCATCAGGGATGCCTCGCCCAGCCCTGAAGCATCAGACAAGGACCTCTGCACCCCTGGTGTATAGATCACGTAGCCAAGCGGTAGGGCGCCTCCGCGGGACTGGGACGCATGCGGGTGCCCGTATGCGTCGCAGGTCATGGATGGTCAGCTAGGTTCGACTCCTAGCGTGATCATTGCTTTTTAGACTTGGGCGGTACATGCCGTCGTGATGGGGGCAGTCAGCGATGACAGAGAGAGAGCGCATTGGTTTGAGGTCGTCGGCCGCCTCCGTCCGGATAGTGGTGACCGGAGGTGTGTGAGCGTGTGTGTCCTCTCGACCATCGTGATCATCAACCTTGCGTCCCCCACTCCCGGAGCCTCAGAGGATGCCTCATGCACGATGTGCCGACGAACACGCATCGATCACGTAGCCAAGCGGCAGGGCGCCTCCTCCGAAACGACACGGCGATGGGCTTCCGTCGCCGTATCGGGTCACGGATGGTCAGCTGGGTTCGACTCCCAGCGTGATCTTTTGTTTTTCCATTTTGCTGGCTGTCCCCCTGAATGCGCCACTGTGCTGTATCCGGTGTATCATGCTGTGCGGGGCGGGCTGTGGCTGGCGCAACGACTCCATCCTCGATGCTCTAGCCAAAGGAGGGTTGAAGCAGTAAATGTGTGCGGCTTCTGGTGGCTCCACGCCTGGCTGCAGCCATGTCACCCGTCCGCAAAGCAGTATGAAAAGCGTCCGGCTCTCTTCTATACAGGATGAGATCGCGTAGCCAAGCGGTTAGGCGTCTCCGTCGAACTGGGAGCCGGCTCGTCCGCAAGGACGCCGGGGGGCCGCACGACGGGGGCGTCCGTGCGGACGAGCGACTCACCGGGTCATGGAGGTCAGCTGGGTTCGACTCCCAGCGTGGTCCATGTTTTTCCGTTTTGTTAGTGGGTCTCATGTTACATATGTGCCGTGTTACATGTGTGCCGTCAGTCCGGTGTGCTCGCGATGGCGAGGTGCCGCCTCAGGTCATGGACAGTCAGCTGGATTTGCCTCCCCGCGTGGTCACCTCTTGTGGGTCAGTCTGGGTGGGTAGTGTGATGTCGTGCGTCAGATGATTGGGGGGTTAGCTCGAGCGACGTGAAAGACTGGAGTACCAGTGTGCGTCGCGCATGACCTGCATGCTTCGTATCGTTCGTGACCTTTCGTCATGGTATGGAAGAGAGGGGTGTGACCTGTCAAAATCCCCTCATGACGGCCTCGGCGCTCGCTTCGACGAGCTCGCCGCAGACGGTGTACTTTCGTTCGAAGTGCTCGTGCCACCCGCTCATGTTGTCGCTGGAGGGTCAGGCGGTCAGCTTTAGTTGAGCGACACGAAGACGGAGACGACCTACATCTCGGACTGGGTGAGATCGTCCAGGGCATCTAGCCCCTGGTCGACCGGCGTGAGCATCTCTGTAGAATCAGCATGATGATAAACGAGCAGTCTAGTGCTTGCGACTCACCCTCGTCGAAGGACTGCTTGGCCATGCCTCGAGAGGCGTCTCGGCCTGCAAAGTTGCCGTACATCCCATCTAGACGAGTCAGCTCAACTTTGCCCAGTGATGCGACCGAGTCGTTTCTTCGCGACGAAGTATCAAGCACGAGCTCGATCCTCTTGCTATTTCAATGTGGATACAGGCCGCCTCACCTGGTCCGTAGAAGCTCCTCCCGTTGCTCACATCAAACACGGTCCGTTCCAGCCCCTTGGACACCTTCCCATCCCTCCCAACCCTCATGATCGCCAGCAAGATCCTCCCTCCGTCCTTCCCGTCGAGCTCCGCAAGCTCGGCAGCCGTGTATTTGCGGTGCACGATCACCTCGGGGTGCTTTGCCGGCATCCAGTTGTAGACGTCCGCATCGTACTCTCCGGGCACGACCTTAGTGGACGGAGGGTGGGAAGGGAATACGATGCGGAAGGCGAGGTAGAGAATCGGCGGGATGAGGAGGAGGTTGAGCGGGTTGGAGAGGGTCATGGTGTGCGCAGTCGCCAGGACTGTCTACTCTGTTGGTATGACGGAATGGACCACAGGTGAGAGATGAGGACTGAAACCACCTCGCTACGCATAGAAAGCCTCACATTCACTCGCTCATCGCTTCGGCATCGGCCACGCAACCTTCCCCCCTATGTAAAATTGATTCCGCCGGACCTCCGCAGCCTCAGCCGCTTCTCGCTCACCGCTTGTGTACGAGTACTTTTCCACAACCGTCAACTCTCTCCTTCTCTTTCATCCTTCTTCCTCCATTCATTGTCAATATCATCCGCTAAACAATCCACCTGGGACATGCGCTGACCCTGTCTCGCATCTGTTATACATATCCGACCCCTGAACCTACTCGACATGCTGGCGAGCTCGGCAGCCGGACCTTCCTCGCCCCACGTGGCGGCGGCGGTGGTGCGGAGGAGGGCTCCTCAAGCGTTGTTGCAGAAACGGGCCCTCGGCATCCCTCGCGGTGAGTCCGGGACCCTTCTGAGTATCGGGATCACCTCACTCATGTCGCTGCTGCAGCCCATGTGCCCGACCACTTCACCGCTAGCGTGCTGCGATCCGCCTTCCTCTCCACCACGGCTTATTCACCCCGGCACATCCACCCGTCTATCCCTCTCGCGTCCCTCCGCCAACCTCACCTCTATCGGCCCATCTCCACCGAGACTCAGACGACGCAAAGATCCGAGCCTCCTCCTCCTAGCGGTATCTCCGGTTCCACCGCCACATCGAACCAGCTCCCGACCCGCGTTCCCCCTCCTGGATCCCCGCCGCCCGCCCCACCGGCACCGTTGAACGCCTCCCCTCCGAAAGTCGCGGAACAGGCCGAGGAGAAGGCCGAGCAGGCAATCGCCAAGAAGAAGGAGGAGAAGTCTGGATCGCTCCCGACACGAGTGTGGTCGACGGTGAAAAAGGAGGCGGCGCATTACTGGGCCGGGACCAAGCTTTTGGGTCAGGAGATCAAAATCAGCGCAAAACTGCAGTGGAAGGTCCTCAATGGCGGTACTCTCACTCGAAGAGAGCGACGACAGGTCCGTACAAGCATGATTTCAAGCGTGTAATGCTGACTCCGGGCCAGCTTAAGCGCACCACCACGGATCTTCTGCGCCTACTCCCGTTCTCGGTCTTCGTCATCGTCCCCTTCATGGAGTTCCTCCTTCCCGTGGCTCTTCGGCTCTTCCCGAACATGCTTCCTAGCACCTTCGAGGGCGATCTCGCAGCGGCTGAGAAACAGCGCAAGCTGCTCCGAGTGCGGATCGAGATGGCCAAGTTCTTGCAGGAGACGGTCCGCGAGTCGGGTCTGAAGGCGGAGAGCGTGGTGAAGAGCGACGAGTTCAAGCAGTTCTTCCGCAAGGTGAGCACCAACAGCCTTTCATTGTACACTCGAGCTGAGGACCCCAGGTTCGTTCGACTGGCGAGAAGCCATCGCAGACCGATGTCATTCGGGTCGCGAAGCTCTTCCACGATGACATCACCCTCGACAACCTGTCCCGTCCTCAGCTCGTGTCCATGTGCAAGTATATCAACATCAACGCCTTTGGCACGGACAACTTCCTCAAGCACCAGATCCGGAACAAGCTTGAGCGCGTCCGCGTGGATGACATGGTGAGCATGACTCGCCGCTGATGTCTTGGGCCGTTTCGGAATCCGGGAATGTGCTGACCGCATCAGATGATCCACGCCGAGGGCGTTGACTCGCTCACGACCAAGGAGCTGCAGCAGGCGTGCCAGTCGCGAGGTATCCGATTCCAAGGTATCTCGCCGGCTCGACTCCGTGAGGAGCTCGAGCAGTGGATCGAGCTGCACTACATCAACGGCATCTCGGGTGTTCTGCTCATTCTGAGCCGCGCGTTCAACTTTGAGCAGAGCGGCGACGACGTGATGGAGAGTCTGATCACCACGCTCAGCAGTCTGCCCGAGAACCTGGTGAGTTTGGCGTACCACACCACATTGAGCAGCGCTGATGGGATCAGCTCAACGAAGCCGAGCTTGGCGTGTCCGAGGAGGCGTCGTACAAGCAGAAGCTCGAGGTGTTGCAGCAACAGCAGGAGCTCATTGAGGACGAGGCGGAGCAGGAGCAGGAGGAACAGGAGGCCAGGAAGGCTGAGCTCGAGGCGAAGAAGGCGGAAGAGGCGGCTCGAAAGGAGCAGGAGGATGCAGCCAAGCAGTTCACGGCGGAGGCGGAGAAGCTCGCTGGAACCGAGGGCATGGTCGCAGAGGAGAAGAAGCCCGAGAAGGTCGAGGACGACGCTCGTATGACCAAGGAGCAACTGGGCGAGCTCGCAGAGGCGCTCAACATCCTCACTGCAAAGTCGTCGATCATCAAGGAGCGGGAAGAGCTCAAAGCCATCCTCGAGGACAACTTGCTGTCCGAAGCTGTAAGTGGACTCTCCATTTCTTTTCGATAAAGTGCTGACGCAAACAGGAATCGAAGGAGCGTCCCGACGAGGCCGACCAGAAGGTTATCGCCGTGTCGAAGCGCGTTCGATCGATGATCAAGAAGATTGACACTCAGCTCGAGAAGTACGACGAAAAGGTCGGAGGCAGTCTCAACCTGATCCAATCGAACGCCAAGGGACAGATCACCCTCGCGGACCTCAAGCGCGCGCTGCGTGTCATCAAGCATGCTCCACCGGAAGACGCGATCGAGGGCCTGGGGAAGAAGCTTGATGTGGACTCGGACGGCCTGGTGGTGGGTCATCCCTTCGTTTCTCCCGGCTTCTACTCGTAGCGTCGCAATTGCACGCTTTCCATTTGCTCGCCATCGCTCTCCACTCCCTCGTGCTCGTCCATGATCGCCTCTGACTGACGCTTGCAGGAACTCGACCACGTGCTCGAGCTCACCCAGGATCATGGTCTGGGTATCTTGTTGGAGGACGCGGAGGCCAAGGACATCCTGGACACCGGAGCGAACCTCCGCCACAGCAAGGATCTTCCAAAGGAGCTCAAGTGAGTCTACCATCGCATTGCGTCGCGAGTTTCGCTGACCCGGGTCCAGGCCTAAGCGAGAGGATATCATCGCCGAGGAGTGACTGTACCCCTAGAAAACACATACTAGCACCTCAAGAAACTGCATCATCCTACCACTCCCATGCATCCGCTTGCGTTTTCTGGAGGCTTCAGCGATTGAGCTCTTTTGCGGGCCGAGCGCGGATCGTTCTGGATCGTCGTTCCTTTGATATGCGTGGAGGCGTGAAAGGACGGTGGCCTTGCATGTTTCCGCTTTGCCCCCCTTGACACTTCAGGTGTTCCGGATATTGCGTCGGTGATGGGCGGAGGGATCGGGGAGGGAAACTGATCTTGTCTATCGTCGATGTGATAGAGCTGATTTGAACATCCACGATGCGCTCGCCCACGACCAAGTGGGTGGCGCTGAACCTCTTCAGACTCACCGCAGTCGTCTTCCTCGTGTGGGCGCTGGTCGCCCAGTTCATCATGCTTGCCAGGCGAGTGTACGAGGTCCGACTCTGTTCATCAGGGAGCTGACGACGTAGTGACGTCGGCGCTGAGAT